GGAAGAAGCTGCGCAAGACCTTCTCTGGTGAGGGTGGCACGTTGGAGGACATGCGTGCGGAGGGTGTCAACCTGCACGCAGACATGGCGTACCAACTCATTCGGTTCTTCTGCCCCGACGACAATCTCCTCGCGGAGGTGACGTCGAAGCACAGCAGGGGTGAGATGAGCAGCGCCGAGGAAAAGGACCTCGCCGCGGATGTCGTTGTGCGGCACGTCTTGTCGGGGTGGCAGGCGCGGCGGGCTGGCGTCACAGATGCCGACGTGGAACACTTCTCCGGCATCCGCAGCATTCTTCTGTGAATGCCGGCAGGAGGGAGGAAGGGATGATGGGGGAGAGAGGGCGCACATGCAACGGGAGTGGTGTGGCTGACTGTGGTGTCCGTGAAGATGATGCCTGTGGGTGGGGGCGTGTTGGTTGTTGTGGTGCCCACCGCGTATATTTGTTTGCTGTGGCTTCTGCTGGACTGCACGTGAACGCCTGGTGTTCCCCTTGCAGTTGTACAACAAGTATTTTAGAACAACAGTAGATAGGGGACTATTAGGCTGCAATGGGGCGGGGCCCGCACCACGATGGCACGCGCCACGGGAGAGAAGGGTGGCCGCGGGATTTTCCGAGGGAGAAGGGGTGCGACACGACCTTACGAAAACGTTGCTGGGTGTGGCATTTGCTGCGGGGATTGTTCAGGAGATGTAGCGGACGCTTCTGCCGCCAGGGGCTATGCCACTCGGGAACGTGACGCGCTGCGGTTCCCAAACGTGTGGTGGGCGGATGGCGAGACACGTTGCGTGCGCTGCCGGAGGGAAGGGCCGATGCTCTGCATGACTATTTGAGCACTACGGGGCGCACCGCATGCTTTGATGGTATTCTGCGTGGATGTGGACACCTCGCCGACCACGGACCCCGTGAGACACTGAAGTTCTACGCCGTTACCTGCCGTGGTGCGACCCCGCATGAAGGCCTCTGTGCCGATCCCGCGAGCAGCATGGCGGCACTGCAGTCCTTCGGTCTTGACGCTGTGACGCCGCAACCGGCAGTAGAGCTGGGGACAGACGAATACGCAGTCCTGCGAGACGGCATGGCGCGTCGTCTTAACTGTGAGGGTGCGGTGGTGTACGGCTGCAACGAGGCGGGGGCTGTTGTGCGGATGTGGAGGCAGCGGTCCCACGCATACGCAATGGAGCGTGCGGCGCAGGAGGCCATCGTCACGCACCGTTTGTGCGGTGTGGCGCTCCGCTCGAGGCTCGCAGGCAAGCTCGCCAGGCTGCCAGAGGAGGTGCGCCGGTGCCTCGGCGACTGGGAAGCGGAACGCCTCGACTATCTTGTGCGGTTTGCAGCGTGGCTGCATTTGACACGGCGGCAAACGGCGCGAACGGACCTTGGCGGGCTGCAGGACCTGTGCCGCCGATGGATCACGCTGCGAAACAGTTCACGCAGTGTGTCGCCGCCGATGCGCACGTGCGGTCCCAAGTGATGCACTACGAGCCGTCCGGTGACGACGCTGTCGTCTGCGTTGGTCCGCAGGGCTGCGGCAATTCCACATTCTCCCGCACCCTGTACGCTCTGCTGCGCCAGGCAGGGCTTTCGCCATGTTGGATCAACCAAGACGAGGCCGGCGGAGGGCGGCAGTTTATTGACGCCATTCGGCGCGCGCAGCGAGGCGGCCACACGCACCTTATCATTGACAAGATGAACCTCGATGAGGCCGCACGCGACGGCTACGCCGATCTCGGACTCAGGGCATTGACTGTGGTGTGGTCACACCCCGACGGCACGGATGCACTAGTGGACATCTGCTTCGACCGAGTCCGTCGCCGTGGTTCTGCTCACCGCACTTTCAAGGCGGACAGAGGGGAAGGGCGGCGCGTGCGTCAAACACTGCTGGGCTGTGCGACGCGGTGCCGTCCACCAACCGAGGCGCCGCTGATTGAGGTAAGCGTGGCAGACGACACTGCCGCCATTGCACGGCGCGTTTGGGCTGAACTTTCCGCACGTGGTTTGACGGACATACCCGAAATTCAGACACTCGACATGGCGAACGCCTGCGAGTCTTTTCTGTGCTGTTTCCCCGCCACGTGGAGTATGCCGCAATTCAGATTGCGTCACCCGAGAGGGTTCTCGAGCTTGTGCCGCCAGAGATGCTGGACGGCAAGAAGGTGCAGAAGGCCTTCCATGTGACGACGCTGTACCTGCGTCGTGACGCCTGCAAGGACCCTGTCCTGCTGCGGCAGCTGGTGGGGCTGCTGGGCGAGTCCATTGAGCTCACGCCGACGAGCGTTGCGTCTGATCCGAAGGGGACGGCGATCGCGGTGCGCAACGAGGGAGAGTTCCCTGCGAAAATGTTTATCCACACATCACCATCGCGAACGCGCCGGGTGTTCCGCCTGCGCACAGCAACGAGCTGCTGGACGATTCCCATGCGGATGACCCGTGCCGCACCGTCGACAGTCTCCCCGCCGGCACACGCGTCACCGGGACATTTGTCTTCAGTTGGCCGTGAGAGACACTGCGGTGCTCGCCGCTGGCTGCAGTGGCATCCTCTGCCACCCCATGCTGGGCTCGTGGGGCGCTGGCGGCCGTGGTGGTGTAAGCACCTGCTTTGTGACTGCATCGCCGAGTGTAGTGCATGACGTTCCCACACTCCCGTGACGACTCCGCTTCCCACATTCAGTATTGTGATGGTTCTATGGACTTCCGCTGTTATTTTCTAGGAGCTTGTGGAGGGAATGATCGCGAGGAAGGCTGGCTATTTAAATTAATATGTATCCTGATAAAACGAATACGCCTCACGACACTTTTATACCGTATGATTTTTGGTATGACCACGGCTGTAGGGGATTAGGGAACCGATAGCCGCCAGATAATTTTGTAAATTTAATTTTACCATCTCACCCACTCTCTTTTGATTCCCAAATTGCGGTGAGGTCCTGTGGCTGGAGAGCCCCAAGGTTTGACACTTCGTAAATTATTAATATATATATGTATGTATATATTTATCCAATCCGAATAGAGCGCAGCATGTCACGAGAGTGGCTATCGGAATACATATGTGTACATATACTTACTTGGGGCAAAGCTTGAGGGTGTGGTGAATCCCCTGCTTTTCCACTTGCCCCTTCCTCCTGTATTGCTTGATTTTCGTAAATAACTTTACGATCCGGTCAATCGCCCCAGGCGAATATTTGCTTCTGTTTGCTCTTACCTTTCTCTGGTGCGAATCGGCCTGCCTCTTTGATTGGACTTCTACCTTATGCCCCAAGCAAGGTGACACATGTTTTATTATTGCGGCTGCGCGCCGCAGCCATCCATCGCTTCCTTCGCCGGCGGTGTCTTTGATTGCTGGTTTGCGTGGCGAGGTGCTAATTTGTGCGACTGCTCGTGTTACCCACTCGTGTTGCAGGATGGCTGTGTGGGAGGAGCTCGTTCATTTTCACGTTGCCGCGTAACTGAGGGTGAGTGCTGGTAGCCACTGAACGGCGTTGCGCCTTGTGTGCCGGCTGCTGTGCTTCCACGTTGTGCTGAGATGCTTGAGGGGGCAATTGTTTTCCTTTTCCCTTTTTGTTTGCATCCCACTCGTCTGGTCATGGCGGCTGCAACGAGACTCTGCGGCAGCCTGATCGTTGCGGGCGTTGCATCTCCTGCTGTTGTCCCCTCGTTGTGTCGGTGGGGAGGAGGCGGGCGACGGCGTCGGTGGAGTGGCGCTGCGGTGGGAGAAGGAAGGCACTGACCGCCGCTGACGGCGACCGTCTTTGCTGCCGGCGATCTGACGAGATGACCTCACCTTTGTCACACCCAACTGAGATCGATGCGGGCCGCACCGCCTCTCTCTTCCCTCCCTCCATCCCCCAGTCTCCTGCAGACACACGAACTGCGCGGCGGCGGCGTGATTACAAACCGGACGTCTGAAGGTCAACCGACCGCAGAGTCGATGTGGACCCTTGTCCCCCGTGGCTGAGTGCCGCCACCGTGCTTCTTTGTTTCTCCCTTTGCCCTTGTGCATGCCGTGCGCGCATGATGCCGCTCTTTGTTCTGCAATGCCGACCCACGTGAGCGAGAAACGACGCCTTGACTACTGGCAACTGACGCACTCACCACCCCTCTTCCGCGCCACCACCACCACGTTCACGGACGCGCTCGATGGCTGGCGGTTGCAACAATGCCACGTGTATCTGCCTCGGCTTTTGTGTGTTGTCCACGGCATCGGGGTCGTCATGTGTTGGAGGCATTTGGTGAGAAGGGCGGTGCCAATGGTCATTTGCCTCTTTGCCGGGGTCCTGCCACTCTGCACGGCGGTTGTGCGGGGCTGCGCGGGCGGTGGGAGGCCGATGGCATCACTGGGCTGACTGTGTCTGCGCGTCTTTGTGTCGCTGGCTGTGATGTGGAATATATGTGGCCGGATGCCGCTGCGTGCTGCTGTGTCTGGCTACTGTTGTTGCTGCCTCTTCCTTGTTTTACCGTGCAGATAGAGATACTGTGGCTTGACCACCACAACTAGCGTTTCAAGGTTTTAGTAATTACTCGCAGCAGTTGTAGTAGTATTATTAGTAGTACTGGGATAACGATCTGGCGGAATCGGGTCACTGTATTTGGCATCTGTAGGAAGTGATTTGCGGAGCAGGAGGCACGGTCGACGAGACGAGTGCGACACACCACGACAGCCCTGTTGGTACCTGGTTGGGTTGGTGGATGTGGTCTGCGGTGGGTGCGTGTCCGCGCAGCCGGCACCGCGTGCGGCGCAGGGCCATTGCGGCTGTGCGTGTGGCGCTGCTTGTTCTGTTGGCGCTGGTTGCGGCGGCGGCGTGGATGCCCGCGGTGCATGCGGTGCCTTTGCGACTGCGGGGCGGCACGGTGGAGAGAGCCATCACGGTGGGCCGCGCCGTGGACACGGTGCTGATGGACGGCGTGTACGTCACGAACGGCGTGGCTGTGGTGCTCGACGTTGCGGCGATGCTTCCCGGCGCGCTGCGCATCGAATTGAGGAACTGCGTGTGCGACGGCGGTGCGCAGATCTACGTGCGGGGCTACAGCGGCGAGCCGGCGAGTGACCGGAGCCTGGAGGTGAGCGTGAGCGGGCTGTCGGGGAGCTACTGCTCGCTCGTGTTTGTGCACAACCTGCCGGCACATACGAACGTGACGGTCCGTGACTCGACAACTGTGACGCCGGGACCGATGCGCTACTCCCAGCTGAGCGGGCTGACGGACACGGTGGCGTCGCCGCTTGTGCTGCACGCGACGTCGCTGTTGCAGACGCAGCTGCGTGTGAGCAACACTGTGCTGAGGTCGTCGCAGGCGGGCGGGACGGCGGTGTACGTTGGCGGCGGCGTGGACCTGCTGTCGAGCGCGGTGGTGCTTGACGGCGTGTCGCTGGAGGCGTCGGGCGGTCTGACCGCGTCCGCGATGAATGTAACGTCCTCGTCGCGTCTGAGTCTGCGGAGCCACTCGGTGTTCTCCGTGACGAACGCGTCGGTTGTGAGCAGCGGCGGCGGCATTGTGCTTGGCGAGCGCCTCGCGGTGTCTGAGTCGGTGCTGCGCTTCGTGGGCGTTGAGGGGTCTGTCGCGTCGTCCTCGTTGGTGCGCTGCGGCGGTGGGACGGTCGGTGACGGCGGGTGGCTGGAGCTGCACGACGTGTGGGCGGTGGGCGAGGCGTCGTCGGTGGCGTCGCTGTCAGGGGTGACGCTGAGCGGCGGCGCCGTGTCGATTGCTCGCTGCGCTGCCACCGGCGCGACGCTTGCCGCCGGACCGACGATCACGAGCGGCGCTGTGTCCGTGCAGTGCAACCGTGCCGGCGGCCGCGTGCTGCAGAGCAGCGGCGACTACCGCTTGGCCGGACTGCCCTCCGTGAGCGTGGTGCCGTGCGACGGCTGTGCGGCGGCGCTGGCGTGCTTCGATGCGCTGACGGCGTCGTTCACCGACTGCGTGTGCGGCTGCCGTGCCGGCGGTGTGGGCGACGCGTGCCTGCCGTTCGACGTGCCGGCTGCGAGGGCCGGCGGTGGTGGTGGCGGTGCGCAGGACTGCGTGAGTGGCGTGACGCTGACGGAGTCCGTGACGGTTGGCGGCGGGCAGGCGACGGCGTGCTTCGACTCGGTGGTTTTCAGCGGACCGATCACTGTGGCGGTGGACCTGCGCTCGATGGATGCGTTCGCTGACACGCTGAACGTGACGCTTCGCCACTGTGTGCTTGTGGGCGGCGCGCAGCTGCGGATTGGCGGCCTCAGCGAGAGCACGGCGCACCTGATGCCCCACGCCCTCGTCAACATGACGAATGTGACGTCGCTGGAGGGCACGATTGTGCTGCATGGCGCGATGCCGCTGAACTCGAGTGTGCTGCTGGCGAACTCAACGCTGCGCGCGACGGTTGGCGGGTCGCAGTACGTGCCGACGACCCGTGGCTACGAGGGATCCCGGTACGGCCCCGCGCTTGTCCTGGACGGTGTCCGGCTTCTGTCGACACGGTTTGTCATGACGCGGTCGACGCTGGTGTGTGGCGGGGGTTCGTGCGCTGCGATACTTGTGGAGCGCGGCCTCGGTGTGAACCTGTCCAGCGTCTTCTACATGGACAACTGCGCCGTCAATTCGCAGACGCACGTGATGTACGCTCTTGCGTCGGACCTGCGTGTCAGCGGCGGCTCCGTGTTCTCCATACAGAACAACTCGTGGAGTGCGCCGAGCACCGAGTACTACAAAGGCGCGTTTGTGTTTGGGGACGTTGCGGTGGATGGCGGCAGCGTGCTGCAGGTTGTGTCCAGCACGTTCCGTCTCGGCTTTGCCATGCTCATGGCAACCACGCTGACTGTGACTGGCGGCAGCTGGCTGGTGCACCGCGACAACGAGTTCCGCACCGCCTACGTTGTGTACGTGGCCGACGAGAAAGGCGTGGCGTTCCGCGATCGGAGTGTGTGGTCGATACTTTACAACGACTTTGGGTACGGCTCCTATTCGTCGATCACTGCATACATGACAAGCTTTTGGCTTGTACGATACGATGCACGCCCGATCATCTACGGCACGTGCAACGAGGCAAAAGGCTCTCCTGTGACTGATTACGATGAAGACCTCTATATTAGGACACCCGTGACGGCATTGGACTGTGGAAATTGCACCGTGGACGCCGTGTGCTTCGCAGCGAGGACGAGCGGCATCAGCGGCTGTGAGTGTGTGTGCGCTGCTGGCGGCCACGGTGACACGTGTCTGCCAGCTGCGGTTCCGGACGGCCTTGGGCCGTTCCCGCTCTCAGATGCGAACGATACGGAGGTCCGTTGCGTGCACGGTGGCAGCATCAACTCCGTGGACTATCCTGATCCCGGTGTGCGTGGCCTGTGCTTTGTCAACGTGACCTTCACCGCCGCGATTGTGCTGGACCTGTGGAGCTTCGACGCGCCAGGAAAGACACTCAACATCACGCTGCTGCAGTGCGTCCTCATGGGCTTGTCGATCAAGGGGAGTGGTGCGCGCGTGCACTTGAGCGTGACATCCTCGATGCTGGATTCCGGTGAGTTGGAGTTTGAGGGTGATTTTGGCGCGAGCTCCCAGATACTGGTGGCAGGCAGTAAGCTCTTGTCAGCGTCGAGCCATGCCATTCACTTTCCAAGGTTTACTTTGGGTGCGAACACGACGCTGCTGCTGCTCGACA